GCGCCGTTGCCGGGGAAGGCAAGTAGGATATTTAGTTTTGGTGTTTGATCTTATTTTCTGTGTTTCTCTTTATTTTAGTATTTTTAGTGTTTTTGTTTCTTTTGTGCATATGTGTTTTTCTCTTTTGTTCTTGTTTCAGTTTTTGCCTTGTTTTCTCTTCTTTTTTCTTGGCTACGCGTGGTTGTTTGGTTCTGGTGTGCAGGTACAATGAATTTCAATCACGGGTACTCCTCCCTGCATTACCCATCTTGGAACGACGAGCCGGTCTATTTCCCCGGGTACCACACCCAACCTTACCTTTATTCTTCCGAGCAGTGCTGGAACAATCTTCCGATTGAGCAACCTTCTGAGTCTTATGCATTTAATGATAAGCTCAGCCAGATTATGGACTTCATAGACTTCAAATCAGCTCGAGAAGAGGAGGCCGCATACAATTCCAAACTCGATCTCATCTTAGATCGATTGATGGCCCGAGCGAAACAAGAGGAGGAGATTGAGCTCAGATGATCCCGATTGAGCGAGCAAGTGGAAAGTCTAGCAAGGCGCATCGACTCGATCGAGGTTGTGGACCCACATCCCATGCCCGAGCATCTAAATGAGCTCCGGGACGACTCCTCAGAGTACAATGCCAAGCTCGACCTCATCCTCGATTGGATGATGGCCCGAGCAAACCAAGAAAGGGAGATTGAGCTCGGATGTGCTCGGCTGAGCACACAAATAGAGAGCCTCACTGTACGTCTTGATTCGATTGAGGCACAAGTCGACAACCCACACCTCATGCTTGACCCTCAGGCTCGAATTCTGCAGCAAATGTGTGAGGCCGAAGAGGATGACATTCTCCCACGAGCAGGGTACGATGCATTAGAGGAGGAGGTCGATTCACAAGACCCTCCTCCCACCTTCGAGTTGGAGCATCCGCCTCCGAGGCCACTGCACTGCTTTCCGGAGGTGATGGTATTTTCTTCGATTTTCTCCATTGATGCGCCTTTGATTGCCGAGGTTGACGAGTGAACTCGGTTGGGGAAGGCTCTGTTCCAAACATTGGGGATTGCTCGTGAACAGACTCACTACATCAAGAACATAGTCACTCGTGCCCACAGTGCCCGCCTTCTGGCCTTAGAGCCAGCACTGCCACTTCTCGAGAACACAAAGGCGTGGCACGATCGTCACTTTTTCCTAGACCCTAGATGAGTCACCTCAGGTTTCGTCAAGCTAATGACGTAAAACAAGCGCTTCTTGGGAGGCAACCCAAGTGATATTTACCTCTTTCTTAGCTAATTTCGTTTATGCATTTTTAGTTGTTCTCCTTGAATAATTGGAGTTTTGGGAGTTGTGTAGTTTTTGCTTGTCAGGATCTATTGAGGCTTGGAGCTTGGGCGAAAGGCATGCACTGGACGCTTAGTCTCCTTGAGTCACCCCCGGTTTGCACACCTTTTCTCTTTGTACATTTTTTGAGTGTGTTTTTCCCTTCTGCTTTTCCTTCTTAGTTGTGTGCTTGTGTTAGCTGCTGGTATTGGTATATTGCATGAATTGTTAGTTCTTGTATTTGGCTCCCGGTTTTGTGATGAAGCAATGAGGACATTGCCTCATTTTAAGTGTGGGGGAGTTCACTTAGATTTGGCATGCTTATGTGGTGAATCAATCTAGTTTTAGTTTTTTTTTTTTCTTGTAAGTATGGATATTGGTGAATTTTAAGTTTTGTTGATATAGTTTGATGAAGTTGAGGGATGTGATGTTGATCATGATGGCATATTTTGATGAACTTGATTGGTCGTTTTGATTGGATATTATTTGCCTTGTGAGGTTTGAGCTTTATTCTGTTTCTGTGAGATATGGTCGGAATTTTGTTGATCAGAACTTGATTGAGTATATTTTGAAATAATCGATTGAAGTTGTGGTTTGTGAATATGATTGAGGCTTTACGTTGGCATTGCTCGTTCTAGCCTTTTTCATTGTCCCTTAAAGTTATATTTTCGCTAGTAGCCCGTTGAGCCTTAAGCCGTGTTTCTTGTCATCCGTTTTACCTGAAATATTTGAGATTTAACAGAACATTGTATGATGATGATGACGGAGCTTCTATGTGTTTGAATGAGGTTGAACTCGCTTGAATTGCATTTATAGTGAAAAAAAAAAAAAAAAAAAAAAAAAAGAAATCGGGGACTGGCAAGACGAATAGAGAGGATTCTACTCCTCTGACTTGTCAATTTATTTTTACGGGTAATGAGTATTGGGAAACCACCCCGGGAAACTTGGATGACCTCCATTGTTTAAACCTGGGGAATGCCATCCTTACGTTCGATCTTGTTAGGAAAAATCAAACTCCCTAAATGATAATAATAAAAAAAAAACAAAATATATATACATATATATCGTCAGGCACTTTATTTGCAATCTTTGTTGAGCATGTGTGAATGTGTATGGAGCTTTGGTTGGGAGTGATTAGCTTTGTGTTGATTATGGATGGGTGGCGAGATATTCGAGTAGTTATGTGCTCGAGAGTATAATTGTTCATTCTAGCCATTTTATCGTTATATTTGACCTTCCCTCAGCCAAGTGCCTTCTTTATACCCGTGAAGTCCTCTTAATTCGCAAATTCATGTGCTTTGGTTGTTTTAGAGTATGAACTAGACGATAAGCAAGCCTATGTTGAAACTTGATTTTCGACCAATTTGAGCGTTCCCATTTCATATTTATGTAAGAAACTGAGTGAGGCATTATACATGACATTTCCGTGTTTGAGAGTTTGTCTTGTCAATGCGTACCATTTAAGTTGTAATTGAGATGTGTTTTATTGGTCTTTTGAAGTCTCCTCAGCTAAGTCCATGAATTTGAAACTTTTCTTATTTGAAGCCGATATCCATGCTCGTGTCTTGTTTTCTTTTCTTTTGTTTTTGTTCGGGACGAATAAAGGTTTAAGTGTGGGGGAGTTGTTTGTCCCATTTTTGTTGCGTTTTTCCTTGTTATTTTTCTTTTTTTTTTCCCCCATATTAGGTCTTTTAGTTAGTTTTTATCTCATTTTGTAGTTTATTACGTGTTTTCTTCTATCTTGGTTTTTCTTGTGTTTTCCGTATGTTTTTTCGGTTTTTCTTCGTTTATGGTGTGCAGGTCGAAAGCTTCGGGAGAACTTATTTTTCATGATAAGTGTGGCGGGTGAACATCATTAAATATATGGGTTCGTTGGCTACAAGTAGGAAAAAGCGTAATTTGATTTCGAGTTCGGACGAGTCCGGCGGGCCCGATAAGTGAAGTCGTGCACGGAAGCCGTCACCTTCAAGTCAAAAGCTTTGAGAGAATAGGTTTTCAAGAATAAGTTGGATTTAAAAGCACAATTGCGTAGAAGGCTTCGTTAGCGACGCATAGAAAAAAACGGAACTCAATTTCGAGTTTGGACAACCCCAAAACGCAAAAGTTGCGCAGCCGAGCCAGCAGCCCCGAGCGCCGAGGCGCGGCAACCCCTCCGCGGCGTGACACCAGCACTTCTTCACGGCGCGAAACCCCTCCGCGGCGGGGCACGGACGTTCCTCACGCCGCGGCACATCCCGTGGCGTCCATCACGTGCGAACAGAGACGCCCCAGGCCTGCCCCTCCACGCAGCGGCATAGCACATCGTCGCGATGCACAGCTCCCTCGTGCCGCGGCACATGTTCTCCACGCCATGATACCTATTACCTATATATTTGTGCGGGACTCGATCAGAAAAGAAAACTCTCCCCTCCTAGGAGTGAAACCCTAGGCTTGAGAAAAAACACGACAACTCCTTTTCTCCTTCTTTTTCCCTTCTTCTTCTTCATTTTTCCTTCTTTTTTTATCTTTCTCTTCCATTATTCTTCTTCTTTTTAATAATTAGGGATTAAGCTTTGTAAGTGGATTCAACACGTGAATTTGGATTGATTGTAAGTATATCTTTCTCTTGTTTAATTCATGAATAATGGTTGAATTGGGAGAAATGAATTATTGTGTTGAACTCAATTTGCGTAGCTAATTCTTATTGCTAGGGATAAGGGATGATTGTTCTTGTTTAAATTGTATTTGTCGGGCTTTGATTTGTTCATGCTTATGTGAGTTGATTTAGTTCGGAATTGATGAATTTGTGCCTGATAGTTTGATATAATCGAAGGGTGACACTTCGATCTTGCAATTGGTAACGATTGGATATTGAATTGTCGAGTTAGGTTTGTTGATTCTATATGATTAGTTGATTAAACACCTTCTAATTGAATTGGTGGCTTTTAGAACCGAAAGGGGAGAAGTTGTAGACCTAGGCTCGCATGAGATAGATGATTTCGTAACTGAATAGTCTATAGGTTTTGGATTGAAATACGTGCTAGTCGATAACCCGTCCCTTGTTACGAAAAGTTATTGGGATTGAGATAATTGGCATGTGTTGTATACTCGAGCTTGTTCGTCTATGTTCAATCCCTTGTTACGAAGAGTTATTGGGAGAGAACCGCTTGATGTTTAAACGAGAGTGTCAATCTGAAATAAAACGATTAATGTCCCGGTTTTGCGAATAGAACTTGAATAAATTATCCCCGACTCCCTAGCTGCTTCTTCATCTTTATTTGTTTATATTTTTAGGTAGATTATTGTTTTATTTTATTTCTTAGTTAATAATTTATTCGATCCTCTTATCTGGTTAGAGTGTTTAGGATTTAATTTCTTTTTGTGTATTATCGATACCAAAGCTAAATTCCGAACTGCCTTCCTCGAGAGATCGACCCGGGAAACGAATCCTTGATTCGGTACTTGGTAAAATATAACAATTTGTACACAGCAATACCCTAGGCGCAAATCTCAATAAATAGTCTGTAAAAAACAGTTCTAAACTTCGAATTTTAAATTCTGGTCGCGATGACCCGCGGGGCGTGGAAATGTCTGCGGGTCACGAAATCATATATCGCCGGTCGTGGGAGTGTCGCGGATTGCGACCATGGGGAACCTTAGCCCCAATTATTCCTACGGGGCGCAGAGTCTGGAAGTCGGGGGTCGCAGAAGACTCGCTAGTCGTGGCCCTGGCCATCCTCAGCCTCAGTTATTCTCGTGAGGCGTGGTGAGCTCCACGGGTCGCAGAAACCAGAAGTCGCGGGTCCTGGGAATGTCTTGGGGTCCAACTCTTTGCTATTTCTGCGGGTCGCGGGGGCACATCGATGCTGGAAATCTCGGGACAATAACTCGGGATATGGTGCTCGAAACTCTACCGGAACTAACTACTCTCCTGCAACTAAAAANGTACCAAAAACACCAAGAAAAATTGGGAAAATAACAAGAAAAGAAGCAAGGTAAAAAATAACAAAATTAGAACAGAAGGGTATAAAATAAATTTTCCCAAACACTTATTCATTCTTGAAAAAATGGGTGAAAATAGCTATTTTTTCTTTAATACGATCATTCACTTAAAAAAATAATAAAAATACGCAGAGTACTATATCCGTACACACGTGTCTAATAATGGTTGACACCATAAATTTATATATAATATTTATGGGAACGACTACAGTCCCGTTGACGGAATGGTTCCGTCAGTGTTTGTTACCGTAAATTATATACACATCATAATCTATATGTCTATTTAATGGTGAAAAACACTGACTGAACCATCCCGTAACGGGATCTTAGCATTTTTCAATATTTAATATCCCCAAATTCCGTCTCCCCAATTAATTTTTTTTTTTACCCAAAAAAATAATAAAACAGTTATCCGTATTGGACCATGCAATTGTTCTGCTTTGCTCCCACTTTCACATTATTGCTCTTTGCTTGTTCTTATTCCTCTCGATATGATATGAATCTCACAAATATATATTCACTTATACCCACAAAAATATTCAACCTCAAAATATTATTCCCTCTTTTGTTACTTTTAGCATATAACTCTATCCAACCACCCAAAACAAAAACACCAAATCTTTTTCTCTTTTACTTTCCTGTTTTCTCCCCACATAAATCGCATAAACAGATAATTAATATCCAAAATGAGTTGGTGTGTTCCGAGTTGGGATATTATGGGAAATAACTCGGCCTCGCCTGAAATCGCTGATAACGTCTGTCCTAATTCCAAGACGACCATACGAGTTCCCAAGTAATTATCGGTTTTCGTAATATATTCACGTGCATAATTATGATTTTATGTTCCCGTGATGTTNAAGGTTGGACTATGAAGGAGTGACTGAGCTGACCTGGAAAAACGGTCAGCTGGGCATGAATGGCCTGGTGTCTGCCCGTCCGGCCGCCGCGAAGCCACCCTCCGCCGCCGCCGCGCCGGCGAAGTACGCCGCCTGGGACAGGCCGCACGCCGGAGGGACCCTGGAGTCCATAGTCAACCAGGCCACCAAGTACGCCGCCGCCGCTGCCGGCGTCCCCGTCCCCCTTTTCGAGCCCCGACGCGCCACGGTGGCCGCCGACGCCATGGTCCCCAGCAACAACAACGCCAGCTGTAATAGTAATAATAACACGAATAGCGTCCCGTGTAAAAACGTGGAGAGCCAGCTGGGGACTGGCACGTGCGGGGTGGGTTCGTGCAGCGGGGCACGTGCGGGGGTCTGCACGTGCGTTGGGGCGAGCGAGAGCGCCACGTGCGGGAGGGAGAGGGAGTTCGCGGGCGGCGCGTCCAGATCCACTTCCCTGTTTTCGCCGGCGAACACCAGCTCCGCCGGCGGAGTGTATGCGAGGAACTCGCCAGAGGACCATGACTCCTTTTGTCACAGTATATCACAGGCATGTAATTGTATCGCCGTATATTTATTTTCCCGCTCGATTAGGAGTGTGCGCTTGTTTTATTTTTCTTTTTTTTTTATTTATTTATATTACTCGTTTGGTTTGACTTTTGACCTACAGAATTATGCTGCCATTATATTCTCTCGATTTTCCTGATTAATTGAACAACTTTGAACCCAAGTTTGAAAGTGAATAATAATTTGACTCATATTCTTAATTAGATTAGGTGCGGTGGACAAAGCTGTTCAAAATTATAGTTTTATATTCATATAAAACTATAGTATATTATTTTATCATCGATAGTATATTGTGTTCGTGTATATGTATATAAAAATATTAGACATGACATTATATAGTTTTATGTTTTGTTGATTAATTGCAGAGAAATGAAGCCGAAGAACGCAAAAGAAAAGGGTGTAGTGGACCAACCTTATCAGTTTCTACANCATGATTTGAACTGTCCAACCATTCACATTTGTATGAGTATGTGATTATATGTTGATTGGACAACGAATAGGGTCATATCTGCCAAAAATTAAAAATCAGGATCTGAAAATATTTTTGTTTACAAAAAATGAATTACGTAGATTCAAGGACAATCACATATATAAGGGGAATGATTTGGTGAAATTTATTACATTCTCAGAAAAGAAGAGACAAAATCAATCAAAGGATGAAGACATTGCAGAAGATGGTCCCAAACTCCAGCAAGGTAAGAAAAGGCCCCTCGTTTAATTTTTATTTATTCAACTCATTAACTGTTTCAATAATAATTATAATTAGTCTATGAAAATAGCGAAGAAAGTATTTCTAGAGTCTATAGTAATCAAATTAATATTTTTGAGGCTGTATATATATCAGTAAGATTGCAATTGTGTACGTCTAATAATGAAGTAAATCAAGTAATCATATTTTATTCTTAAGAATAACATAAATTTCATAGTATAAATAAGTAACTTTGTTGACAAGTATATATGGAATTCACTCACCTAATTTTTTGCTACACAAAATTTGCTGTCAATCTGTTAGTTTAGTACCAAAGTTGTCTTATTATCATGTAGTAGTAGAATAAATAAGTCTTACGATGATTCCAGTTATATTACCTTTTTTTTTTTGTCAATTATAATAATCTAATAATTGCTGCTGTCTTGTCTTCCTTCTAAGCAATAATCTTGGGTCCCTGGATAATAGCCGATGGACTGAAGCAAGTCCGCACAAGATTATTGGGTCGTTGAAAATTGAAAAATCTACTATATTTTCCAAAATAAATAGTTATATATATTTTGACGTTAAAGTATTATAATTTGAAAACTAACACAAAAAAAAATATTTATACATATTAGGGTAAGTTTTCCATTTTTTTAATTAATGAATTATTAAATATTTTTGCAGACGGATAAAGCGTCGATGTTGGAGGAAGTAATAGAGTACCTTAAACAGCTCGAAGGTGAAGTCCAATTTATGAGAAGTAGGATGAACATGATGTCATCCATGATGATGTCATTGCCACTGCCCATGCAGCAAATGTCCATAATGCCCCCACCCATGGGCATGGGTATGGGTATAATGGGCCGGATGATGCCACCTGTCATCCCGGGTGCCGCTGCCGGACTTTTTCCGCCGCCCGTCCACGAGGGCATGCTGCCGCCGGATATGCTGTCCGCGTTTCTGGCTTGTCACTCACATGTAAGTCTATTTTTGGTTACTAATTAATTTTCACTTGTTATTGCAATGTCAAAAAGTATATATATACTTCACTGGATATTTTATTCGTTTAAAATTGATATTTTTTTATAAAAAAAAAATTATAATAATAATTTTAAAAATTTTAAAAAATAATAATAATAACACTCAAAATCTCAAATGAATACCACATCATTTATGTTTAAAATTAAATATTATTGCCCTTTGTGATTTTGACTTTGTATTTTAAAATGATTGCAGCCTATGACAAGTGAAGCTTATAGTAGGCTGCAGGCTGCCATGTATCAAAACCTCCAGCAGCCACCACCTGCCCCTGGCCCTGCTTCAAACAATTGATCTAACAAAAATCTACACATTGCGTTTAAATGTTCCACATAATTAATAAACAATCTTGTGTGAAAAATACTACAAGTACATAATAAATGTACATAGAGGTGTACATAACACTCACATGGGGTGGGGCCTACTTGATATTTTATTTTTGGTCAGTCTCACTCAATGTGAGTGTTATGTTCACCCTTATGTACAGTATTATGTACCTATAGCGTTTCTCGTCTTGTTTTTGCTTTTGTTATGTATGCTTTCTTTTTTTATATATAGTTTATTTTTTGAGATATGTAAAACAGGTGTGAAATATATCCACTTCAAATTAATCCGGTCGAAAATATTTGTTTGAATTGATTTTCTGTTGGAATTTCCATTGGACTTACATGATTTCAGTGACAATTTTTTCAATATGATTTCAATGATGAAGCATAGACTCTGGGTGGATGCAGGGCGAATGAAGTAGATTTTTCATTCATTAGATAGAGAAGATCACCAAGATTTCGCGATCCGCTGCCACGAAAATTACAAATTTCTATGAAAATTCCTACAACAATATATCACTGAAAATGTTCGTTGGAATAATCAAATTTCCAACTAAACTTCTAAGGAAAATTTAACTCCAACAGAATATTTTAGTTTTAATTATCATTAAAATATTCGTTACAATCTTTTAATGGAGGTTATGTCATTGGAATAGTCGTTGAATCTTTCAATTTGAATATTACCATTGAATTTATTTGTTCTAATACGGTAACTTTTTTGAGTAACTACTACTTGCATTCAGCTCATACATTATAATTTGTGGAGAGGGAATAAAATTTTCATCCGCACATATAAAAAAGCGAAGGTCTAAATATCTCTATGGAATGCCAAAGATCTAAAATGGTTCTTCTTGGACCATTTCTAGTTGTGCTCTAAAATCTACGTGTTCTTTCAGCGACTTAAAAAACCTAAAAAGTTTAAAACAGTAAGTTTGTTTTCTAGCTCTACTCTTACATACCTAGCCATCTTCTCAGTTTTAGCTCATTAATTTTGAGTTTAAACTGTTGGAATTTTAATATGAAATAAATTAGAAATAAAAAAGAAATTGTTATTCTGTTTTTCGACAACTATGGATAAATAGATTGAAATCTCTATATATATAATTGCTAGTAAAACCATTAATAAATCATATTTTCGTTTCTCGCCAATAGAGTTCGAACATACATTTTTTATTTTATTTTTTTAATTATGTAAAAATTTGCAGTTTTTTTACATTAATTGTATCTATATATATTTAATGGACATTCATATGTTTTTTTTTTTACCATACATTTTTTTTTATATATAAAATGTAAAAAAACTTATGATTGGAAAATAATTTGTAACGTTCTTCCTACTATATTCTATTTTTGGTAGCAAACTACATGTGCTCTTTGTATATATGAAGATGAGATGTTCATTTATTGCAAAACATAAAAAGTTTCCCGTCCATTTTTAGTTCAATATGATAGAAAAATATTATAATTATTTTAATTAAGTGTAATCATATATTTTTGCTATTATATTATATAATATTTAATACTCATAGTAACTAATCATAATGCATACTAAATGTTATGGAGAAGTTGCATAAGTATCAAAATTTCTATTTAGAGATTTTATCTTCAAGCTCTTTATTCTTAAATTAATATTGTTTTATTTTTATTTTTTTCCTCATGAAGTGATTTTCTTTATAAATATTAACTAGTTAGTTTTAATAGCATAGTCAAACCGCGTTAAAATCTTATAAGTAATAATAATAATAATAATAATAATAATAATAATAATAATAATAATCAACTATGTTAATTGGTCATGATCTCTCAAACTATAAAAATCATATAATCCACAATATTTTTTCAATCAATATGTAGTGATTCGTATATATTTTAATAATATATATTTATAATGTTTATTTATAGTAATTATCAAATTTTAGAATTGTGATATATTCATTATCTAATTAATAATTTTTATTATATCCATACACATAACTTATAATATTTATTTATATTTGTACATGTGCACGGAATGATTACTAGTCGGTTTATAATTTTTACAAGCATTTTAAAGATGGCCAAGTACTTTAATTACTTCTAATGATATATAATTAACAGAAAATCTTATTTATGGATTCGCTTTATCGCTTAACTGTATTTGGCATGTACGATGCACGAAGAAGTAATAATATGGTTGTATATAAATTAAATATATAAATAACATTAATAATCATTTCTTCACGAAAACCTTCTTAAAATTTAGTTTTTATGGAACAACGTATTGTTAATATTGTAATTCATATTTACTTTTAATTATCGATTTTGTTCAGTCAAATTGATTCATAACTTGGTCACCTGGAAAGAAACAAAAGTTTTGTCATATTTCTGGATGACTTTACAATAATCTAATTCAATCACCCATCCAATAAAATTAATTTTTTCAAATATAATTAATTTTATGATATAAAAAATAATTTGTAATTTACATAGTAAATGTTTATAACAGATAACAATATATTATGACTCCAAATTGTAAACTATAGACAAATTAATTTTAAGGCATTCGTATAACCTTTCTCACTTTCTGGGTTGAAAGTAGTCAAAGTGCAAAGATATTGTGCGATGAGTATGCAATTGATATGTTGTAGTTACGCAAATCATTCGCATAACCTTCAATTTTTTTTGGAGTGAAAAAATTAAATTATAAAATAACGGTATGAAAAATTAATATATGAAGGTGAAAAAGATTTTTCCCATTTAATAATTATGTGCACCGTACATAATTGACTTTGCTAGCCTTAAAAATGATTTAAATGATTGCTAATGAGTATATAATTATGAGAACAAAAGATTTCACATGGAATGTTTTCTGAAATAGAAACATGATCAATTTGATTAGACATAGCTTTTGACAATTTAGATAATAATTACTTATAAGATGCAAAAAATATACAGGTATCTTAATCCATAATTATTTATTCAAACATCAACCTCTATCTCTCATCGTTTATATTATGTTCATGTTATCACAGAAATTCTATGGTGCCCACATGGGCACCATATGGTGCCATAATCTCACGATCCGACGCTTAATATTCATTGTGGAATTGATAGAATGGATATTAGGCGTTGGATTGTGAGATTATAGCACCATATGGTGCCCATATGGACGCCATAGAATTTCGGCATGTTATCAGTCATATTGAACATCTCTTTATCATAATATTCTTCCATATTTGCTACAATATTTAAATGTTTTGTACTATGTTCAGGTTATCTTTGTAAGCATAAATTGCATGGATCTTAAATAAATAATTTGATACAAAATACTTACTTGATGCGGAAGACAACATAATTGTATTCTCATGAGCACACGGAACTCTCTTGATTCTCTTGATCTATACTAGTTTCTCCTTTCTGACTGTCTCTTCACGCAGCCAAAAACTGATGGAAAAGATACTGCGTACCCTAATTTGAGAAAAGAAGAATAATTTATATAGAGGTGGCTATAGATCTGATACGTCCATCAAGTATTCAAATTAATGACTCAAATTTGTTTGACTATTAAATAAAAGTTTAGCCCAAAAGGATCATTAAATAAGCTCAATGCTTTCGGACCACATATTCATACATTCTCCTACTTGGTCTGAAAGTTCTCAATTTAATAGTTTAACATTAGGTGCACATAAATAAATCTCATTATGTAATACATCATAATAAACTATTATCCGGGTTATGGATTCGATTTGATCAGAGTCCAAGCGAGCCCATAATCTACGGATACTGAGAAGCTCGAATTTTTATTCAAATCATTTTTTATGTGACATTTATTAATAGCTTAAACGTTAGAGTTATATACATGATGTAAACTATGTTTTTAAAGATTTTGTGTGAACTTTTGTGGTGTTAAAACACTATTATAAATGGTTCACAAAATATGGGTTACGTTATGTGCAAAAATTGTCGTATATTAAGTTTATATATGTTGTATATAATACATTACGTTAAAGAAATTATACAACATTTATATATTTCAAAAGCCATACAATACCATCTAAAATTTAATAATGTAAGAATTTTATTTTTTTGCTCAACCGAAATACATCTTATGCTTAGTTTATATCATGTAACTATGTATATAACATATAAGTTGATATATATACATTTTACTTCTCTTTAAGATATAAGTAGATATATACAGTTTACATTTTCATAATATACAATGAGAAAATCGACCAGGTCGACACTTATAATAAAAAGAGGTTAAAGCTTAACGACGAGCATCATAATCTTGTACAAGACGGGCATCGGAATAATTTCAATCTATGTTTCGTATACAGTCTGTATATTTTCAGTATATGTTATTTTTTTACTTACATAACTTTTACCAGCTCAAATGCCCTATTTTGTATGCACCTCTTGAACAACAATTGGACAACTATACTGGAGAGATTGATGTTTAGTCTAATCTCTTTCATTATAAACCAATACTCTTATACAGATAAAAACCAAGCATTCATTCACAAAAAGCAATCAACATTTAAAACATAAACACGCTACAGAACTACAAAAAAAAATTGTTAATATACCAAACATGAACTATGAAAAACACTTGTAACACCCCGCTTATCAGAGTAAATTTTTCGCAACTTTTATTTCGAAAATACTTATAATTTGTCGAAATCTTTTGCACTTAACTCAGGATGCTACTAAAACTTATCTTTTCTGAAAATCCGTTTTTCTTTAAACTTGGTCTAATACTGATTTAGACATAAATAAAACAGATTTAATCAAACCTGCATGTAAAATTGGACAATGTTCATACTGTTAACTAGTTAAAATCTGAAAATACTTAACATGCAGTTTGAAACTTGAAATACATAGCGGAATCTGTAAAACATGTAAATATATTATACAGACGGTTATAAATGTCCACTTAAAAGCTTGCTACAGTCTGAGTCCATGACCATCACCAACACTTCGCACCTCCTCTTTGACCCTGTTACCTGAAAATAAAACTTATGGGGATGAGTACTGTAATAGAGATATCAATAAACATTGAAACAAATCAGATCAGAACAATTCACTCGAAACAAATTTCATTCATTTACTCCAAACATTCAACCATATTCAGATCAGGAATCCAAATTCAACCCAAGTGGAACTGAGCAGAGCAATACTCTACTCTGATCGAACGCTTGAGTTTTTCATAACAAAGACTCTGGCTCCAACCGTCTGGTCTCGGGGCGGCGAACCGCTATCTCCGACAGTTCGAGGGCCAGAGTGCCTCCTTGGTTTGGTGGTCGCCAGTTGGGGCCTACGGTCGTCTTACCACCGACACGACAGCCAATACATCGATCCGCCGACCCGCGTTGAAGTCATCCAAGCCGTTGGTCACCGGTCTCCGATCGATCGAAAAAACAATCAAAGAAAAAATTCAGTTTTAGGTTTGAACTAATTTGGGAGGTTTGGCATTCTGGAAAATTTCTTGTATGTATTTGTGCTATGAGGGATATGTGTTTAAGCGTAAACTTATAGAGAGAGAAGAAGAAGAAGAAGAAGAAGAAGAAGAAGAAGAAGAAGAAGAAGAGAGAGAGAGAGAGAGAGAGAGAGAGAGAGAGAGAGCAACATGCATGAGTTGGGGACGAGAAATCTCATTTAATTAGAGCTGCAACTAAACCAATAAACCACCACTTACCTTTTATAATATTTTTTTTAAAAAAAAAGAAATAGAAAATAACAGAAATTTCAGCGGGGTGCAATTACTTTGTGTTTCAAATTAGCTAATAAAATATTATACTAGTATATTTGCAAATATTTTGTCCACATTTCATCCTAAGCGTAATTTTCTCAGGGTCCGTTTGGTTGGGTTGATTAGGCTTGATATTACTCAGTTTCATACTATATCATTCTCATTATGTTGTTTGGTTGAAACAAGTCAAGCCCTTGAAATGTGGTATGGTCTGGTTTTCTATCACTCTTTTTCTTTATACCACATCCCACCTAGAGGATAGGATGTGGTTTCCACCCCATTTTTCATTGAAAATTACATAACTACCTAGTTTTTTCTTTCAAAATTTTCTCCAAAAATTGATTTTTCCAGATCCAATTAAGAATGATAGTTATAATTGTTGTACAATATATTGTAGGGTTAGGTTTATAGGCCCAATCTAAAGAAGACCCATATTATGTCTTTATATATATATATATATATATATATATATATATATGTACATAGCCCTATGTTAATACTAAAAATTATATATTTTCTCACTTTTTACATGGTATCAGACTAGGTTTAGGGTCACATATAGGTTTGGTCTTTTTTCGCTCGTCTACGGCCACCTTCGACTCTCACCTCCCATACCATCGTCTCCGGCGTCTTGAGACGGACGTTCGCCGGAAATTTCGTCACCATCGGCAGCGCGTGTGGCCCACATGCGCCACGTCATCGTTTCAGCATCGGCGGCTTTCTCCGGCGGGTGAGGCCCACCTCTGGCGTCTTTCGTCGCCGCCTTTCAGCTGTCGACTCGTCTCATCGTCGGCTATGTCCAGGTGTGGTCGGTTTTGGTTTTCGTGACGTTTTTAATTTTGGCCTGCATTGATATTTTGACTGTTTCGTGATCCGGTTCGTACTATATTTTCATCTGTTTCGTGATATTGTGTTGCTCTTATTTTGGATATGGATCATATGGATGTGCATTCTCCTATTAGTGTTATCTTATCAGGGGATAATTATAGTCTTTCGGCACAATCTATGAAGCGTTTTTTAATTGGGATAAAATTGTGACGGATTGTGACTGATGATGTGTTGCCACAATCTATGAAATGGATGTTAAAATTGTTTCCGCTGAGATCACGTAGTTTTTCCAGAGTTAAGTTTTTTTGTTTCCTTTGAGATCTCGCCTTCTGTTGCTTCATCTTTAGTGCAAAAAAAATGAGGAGAATGATTATATATGGATCCAAAGCTTGATTTCAAGTATGGAAAATAAAATTGTTGGTGCATATCCTTTTTATGCTTGCTAAATTTTTAGTTATATTATTACTTGAATTTCAAATTTGCAGTGGGGTTAGAAATTGTAGATTGGATAATTTTGACTGTTAAATGTGAGAAAATGAGTGCGAAGGATGTGGGTGATTTTGCAAATTCAACTACAAATAAAGTGCAAAAATGTAATTTTCCACTATATTAATGATAATAAAAATCAACCAATCAATGTAATGTATCTTATGTTATCAGATGGATAAAGTCTATAATTTATATGAGAATAAATCAAGCCTATTAAGGGACGGTAACCAAATGCACCCTCAAAGATTATCGTGAACTGTGGCCCGCTAGCCTTCCTTTCCTGCTAATGGGCTGTATTTCAAAGAGAGTCTCTTAATGGATTTTGTGGTCTAAGATCTTCTCCAACGGTACTGCAAAACGTAAAAATTTGCAATACGGGAGCTCCAACCGGTGCCAAAAACGGATCGCAAAATGCGATCTGATCTCTCTCTCTCCTCAATTCGACGCAAATATGCGTCCGAACGCAAATTATGCGTTCCTTCTTTTTTTTTTTACATTTTGGTCCTTTATGTTATCTTAATTTGTAAACTGATTTTTTTTTTTTTTTAATATTTAAAATAATAATATTATATTTATCATTTAATTTTATATATTTCACAATAATAATGTAAAATATACATATTATTTATGGTATTTTTATTTAACAAGAAAAGAAACCACTAACATTAAATAACAACAACATTACTAATACAAATTGAAATAACATTAATACATGGTAGATCATGATTTAAAGAAAAATATTTAAATTTTAATTTTTAATGACTATTTATTTCTCCGATTTTATTATGTATATGATTATTACTTTATAATTAGTTTATTATATAAAGTCCAAATTGAATTGAAAATAGTAGTGTGGTTTAATTTGTAAAGTTATAAAATATGTGGGTAATATTGAAAAATTGTAAAAGTTGATGTAAAAGAGAATACTTCGAGAATATTCTTTTGGGTTAGAGAATTGGTTTTTCGGTTGGAGATGAACTACTGCAAAATGAGATAGATATTACAAAATGGGTTTGAGTTTGGGCCGGTATTGGGTTGGAGATGCTCCCAAATCCTTAGCTGGACAATTTATTATTAGTTTTTATATTTGTTTTCATTTATTTATTCCCCCAATTCTTGATCTTATAATTCAGATCAGAGAACAGAAAATGAGGTGAAAACGGAAAAGCATCCATCCTTCACAAATAAGATCAAAGCATTTATCCATGGATTACTCTTCGCACCAGCGTCAGCAAGGGTACGATCCTTCAGCTCAAGCTCAGCAATTCTACACTCAATCTGTGGAGGGTTATTACCCCTACGCCTACCCAAACCCTCCGTACGTCAGCAATCAGCCGTACCCGTATCCCGCCGTGAATGTACAATCGTCAGAGTACGTACAACAAGAGCCTACTCCGCCCGGCGTCTCTTTTCAGCAGCCGCCGCCGATGCATGATCCGAATTCTTATAACCAAAGCCTCGATTATGGATCGACCGCTTATGCCGCTGGCGGCTATACATTTGGGCCCCAACATGGGGGAGTGGATGCCGGTGCTGCCATGGCTCAGCAACAGGTGGTTCAGCAACTGGTATGAATGTTCTTTTCGTCATGATTGTTTTTCGGCTGATTCGCAATTTTTTTGTTGATAGGGTTGCTCTGCACTTTGTTTGATGTTTTTTGGTAGCTGGGTAATGGGATTCCTTTGTCTGTGCGTTGTTAGCATCATTAAGAAAATTGATGTGAAAGGAGAATGTAATTAGGACATCACGTTGGAGTTTAGAGACTATGATTGTAGATGTGCATTATGGACGGATGGCTCACTGTGATTAATTAGGGTTTAACTGTACGAAGTGATTGTTTGAATTGGGTCGTGCAGAGTCAAGTGCTTTCCATTTACAAACATATATAGTCTCAAAAGAAGTGCATTCTTTTTTATCCGGCATTGGAAATCTGTGTATGATTTCTTGTTTCTTGAAGCTCATAAATTTCTTATGTGTGGTAAGTAGTAACAAATGATAATTTCTGGTTTCTTAATGCTGGATTGGATTTGTTACTCATTTTAATAATAAGGTTCAATGTTTTGTTTGGAAAGTATGAATGACATCGGTTGCTTGCTCTGGTGTTAGTTTGAATTTCAATAAGGAAAGTTCACACACTAAGTGCAAGTCTTTCAGCTTGTTATTTAAGTTTCAACATTGGGCTAATTGAGCAATACACTCTATGTTCAAGTGGGCATCACCTTAGTTAGTGTAGGTTTATTGTCTGCTAGTAACTGTGAGTTTGAGAAACAAACTATCTCCATAAAACCATTGTTCAATTGTGGGACTAGCCCATTGACCATCTTGTAAGCTATCCTGTTCATTGTGAAAGCCATATTGCGCAGCGTCTAGTGCAGGTCAGTTTTTGATTCCTCGGATCACATTGCATGAGGTTATTTTTGTCCTTTGCAGAAGTAATAATTGCCCAACCAGAGAACGTATTTGCGATTCAGTATGTGTATCGCCCCTTACGATTTTCCTGTCTCTTCAAGGGTCAGGTTGGTAGTTCAGTATCCTATTAAACGAGCTTACATTTCATCATGATGGTTCCATCAGTGATTAAAAAGGTGATGACATGGCGTTGAGGCGTGACGATGCGAAGTTGTGAAAGACAAAGCCAAGGCACTTGCCTCGATGGTCGAAGCACTAACCCTACTTTTAGGCCATTGGTTTAGACTTTTTCATAAATTAGTTCTCAAATTACACTTCTATGTCCTAACCAAACTCTCCATTGGTTCATGTTTTCCTCCTAAAACTGACTTTCAACTGAGAGTGAAGGCATTTATTGTCACGTTCTTTTCTTTCTTTGTTTTCTTTTTTCTCTTCCCTTCTCAACTTCTGGCAGTTGTTTGACCTATTGTATTAGGTACTGGACGCTGCCGGACCTGCCGGCCAATAGCAGCAGCTTATCTGCTATTTTTGCTTTTGTTCTGGCAGAACCCAGGAAACCTTCTATTGAATACTAAATATCCTATTTTTCTTCTACTAATATTCTCTGTGAGCTGTGAGTGATTTTGGACTGTTTTTGTTAATAGAGTTCTGTACTGTGGTGAGTGGGTGGCTAAAAAATAGCTCAACCAGCTATTATAGTCAAACTTTAAGGTTCATTTTTGTGTTAAAAAAAAAAATCACGTTTGGAACTTCTTTTTCGTTTTCACTTAGATTATATGTAATATGTTTGTTGTCCATAAATCCTTATTGTTGTTGGCCTGCCTCGTTTTAATGAGGTGAGCGCCTTGCCTCACGCCTTGGCAGAAAATGGACTTGTCGCCTCGAGGCGCCTCACGCCTTTTTAATCACTGGGTTTCATCAGGAAGAGTAAACAGATTGTTCAGTGAAATTTATAGCAACCTCATTAATCCCCTCATCAGTTTCTATCACAAGGCATAAGGGTCGGTGGCTATAGACTTCAGATGAACATGGATGCAACCCATAATATTTACCTATCTTGCTATTAATAGATACATGCACATTTTTATTTGCAGTTGACTGCCGGCATAACTGACGGTCTTCGCCCTTAACTCTTTTTTTCCTATCAGTTAAGGTTTTCTTTGATTTTATGGCTGGGTTACATTGACAGATGAAAGGTGTGATGAACTCTATGATTGTGGTTAAATCGTTTACTGAGGATCATATGTACTTTGTGGGATTGTACGTGGTAACTAAAGTGAATTCCCATATTTATATATATTTGTAACCATATATTATAGTTATATATATATATATATTTGATTATTTATAGTTATATATATATATATATATATATATTTGATTATTTTTAACCATATATTATAGTTATATATATATATATATATATTTGATTATTTATTTCAAAGCTCAAGCAGTGCATGTATTCTGAAGGGTGCATTATATATGTTAAAAATACTATTTCTTCATCACCTTTTGTTTATTTAACCTTTTTATCCTTCTTTCTTTCTTCTATTTTGTCCTCCTCTTGCCTGTTTCCCAAGATGATTGACTTAAAATAGTTTTTAAAACTAGGCCTGCATCATTGAAACTCTTCATGCATATTTAAGTGTATTCATTGTGAGTCATTGACATTTTTGTCCTTTCATGGTTCTCAATCTTATCTAGGAGGGAAACTTCTGAATAATCTGTTTCCATAAATTATTGTTTAGTCTGAGACTCATAATTGGTTCCAAGGTTACATAATATAGATAACTAGTTAGTTCTAAAATAATTAAGTAAAGAAATAAAAGTTCATGTTTCTTTATTATAAGGTGCATGTTTGTTGATCTTAAAGATGTGTGAATTCCTTTTGTTGAACAATAGCTAGTTGTACAACTGATCAACCTATCTAGCAAGTAACAGCCATGAGATGATGAGATTGGCCTTATCTAGTATGCACATGTTTGTGATACTCTTGATTACTTATTTCTACTATATCCCTGTTTCTTTTTGCCTTCCCTTCTGAGTTCTGCAAAATCCAATTGCATTCAATGTGAGCAAACTCCAGAGTTCCTATTCTGTTCTCTTTTTGCGGAACTTTGTGTGTCTGACTGGGTTTCTATCACAATCCAAAGATGTTTTGGTACCATATTCACACTAATGCCTCTACTGTTTGTAGTTTGGTTTACTCATAGATTTGCTTATACCTTTGCGAAATTATTAGATGAAGAATCAATTGAGAATGCGTAAAATTAGATATGCTTTACTTTTTTCTTTCAGTGCATAGCTAATTATTTAAAACTTAAAAGAATATGATTAATTTTACATAGTCCAAGTTAGCTCCAAATGTTTATGTTGATAATAATGAATCGACATGCCGAACTGAGTCTATCATGAGGGTTTTGCCTTCCATTTTGTGTTTGATATCAGAAACTAGGATACCATGTTTTTAATTAGTTGGCTTTTCATTGTATACCTAAAGGCTAACCTTTTCTAGCTATTTCTACGTGAATGCTTTCTTTTCGTATGGCATTTGCCTGCGTCTTCTTCTTACTATTAAAAAAAATCACTAATACAACTTCAGGGTTTCTAATTCTATGCTTCCAGTTACCTTCCCAGGATGGTTTCTCGTATATTTTCCTGATAATCACGAGATTAGGTTTAGCCACTGTACAGAAAAACTCCAGTTATCTTTCAAAACTACAAACATCCCCTCAAAAAGTGTTGCAAACATCCCTTTGATGCTCACATGCTTTTTTAACAAATGCTCCTCCTTTTGAGGGCACATTTTTGGTACAAGTGAGGGCAGTATCAACGGGGTACTTGTACTTTTGAAAGATAAATACCATTCTTTAAATTGCATTTCGCACGATTTTGCAGATTGTACCTCCTTACATTGATCCTAGCACCATCAGCGGTTTGTGCCCCCCACCACAAGTCGACCAAACCCATGCCGGGCCTACACCAAACTTCTCGGCCCGCCCGATTCGTGGACGGGCCCGTGGACGCGGCCGTGGCCAAACATTTACTCGAGGTGGGCCCCACATCAAACCCGCGCCAGCTCAGCACCCGCAAATGCCTCAACACCTATGGTGTGAACTCTGCAAAGTCGAATGCAACAGCGTCGAGATCCTGAACCGGCACTTGAGCGGGAAAAAGCACTTGAAAAAATCGAAAATTTTCCAAGAGTTGCAAAATCTTAGTAGTAGCGTGATGGCAGGCGTACCGAATGTACAAACATATGTTCCTCCCGAAGTCCCTTCTCAGACCACCAATCAAATGGAGGCATCTGCAGATGAGCAGCAGGAGAGTTTGCCTTCTCAACCTATCATCAATCAAGGAAAGGCCGAGGAGGTGAAAAAACCCTTCTGGTGTGAACTCTGCAAGGCTGATTGCAATACCCTTGAAGTTCTTCATAAGCATCTGAATGGGAAAAAACACCAGAAGAATTTAAAAACATCCAGCAAAAAAACTCAGACTGTTGTACAAACTGGACAGGCATCTCAAACCGAATTGCCTTCTCAAGATAACTATATAACCCAAGTCGAAAAACAAAATCTTCAAGAATCGGAAACTATTGGGAAAAACGACTTTTCCGGAAATGTACGTGGGTTCAAACGCAAGATGAGGGGTGGGAAAAGCGGTCGGATCACGAAAAGGAGGCCCGTGGAGCCTCTCAGGCCCACCAAAGAAGTCGTCCCGTTGGTTTGTGAGCTGTGCAACGTAAAGTGTGAGTCTCAAGTGGGCTTCCAGAGCCACCTGGTGGGAAAAAAGCACTTAGCCAACGCTAAGCGGTTTTTGAGTGAAAACGAGACGCTCGGTCAAGAAGTGTTTCAGATACTGAGGCATGCAATCCAAAATGCCGTGGCCTCCACTTCTGTGGCTCAGCCGATGAATTTCCAAGCTTCATCTTTGTTGGAAAATAACTTGGAAGGTGCTGAGGGAATACCAGGTGAGGGACGTGCAGAAGGCGAAACGGAGATTGTGACTAAAGATGCTGATAATGCGGTTACACTTTCGTGCGAAACAAACACAGGATGAAAGAGACTTGTGTTACATGGGGGAAAGGATTAAGCTATAAAACCAAATGTGTAGGTGGCCTGTCTATTTATGGATGTGTTGGAACTTTGGAACAACCTTATATTTTGCACAGTTAGCTAAATGGATGATTCTCGGCTCGGCTCGCTGTGATCTTTTATTGTTTCCTTTGTGCTCGGCAACACGTTTTTATGCTGTTGAAATTTTTACATAACCCTTATTGGTTTGGCTTGCTATATATAATCTCTTAATCTACCAAATCTGGTAGCTTTAGATATGGGAGTGTTTGTTCATTTTTGGTGGGGGGTTCGATTCTATGTTTTCATCATTTGCTTGCATGTATAAAGCTTGAGTTGCAACTTGGTTGCACAATGTCCGTGTTTACAAATATATTGGCATTTGATTGATTGATTTTTGTTTGTTTGTTAATCATAGTTAATTTTGAAATATAGTTAGTTGTTAGTGGGATTTTAAGTTTGTATTAAAATAATATTAAAAATAAAATTCTGAAAATTGATTTAATTTAAAAGTAAGAGATAGTGATAGGTAGTTAAAATTATGTGAGTTGATGAATAGTGAATTAAAATTTATGTGATGTGTACGGTTGATTGATTGATATTATGTAATTATATTGATAATGTTGAGGATAGTGAAATTGAGTTAAAGTTGAGTTAGATTTTGAGTTGAGATTATTTTTTTTAGTACAATTTATCTATATTAATATATTGAAAAGCATTTTATGAAATTTAAATTGTGGAAAAGTACATAAAAATGTTTGTATAAATCTGTACACAACTCGTACGGTGCACGTAACTGATTCAAAATAAATGTCATTTTAAAATTCAAATTCGATTTGACTATAATGTGATTCCATAAAATAATTATTTTGGTATAATTATAAAACATATATTGTTTCATTAATTAAAATGAATTTATTTTTGTACAAACTATCAAAATCAAAAAGAAAATAAATAATTGAATAATTTATTAAACTATAATAATTTGCATTAGATAGTAGGTAACGGTTAATTAATGAATGAATAAGGATTGACTACAAAATTTAAAGTAAATTCTTCCAGTAATCTATATATATATAATAAGAATTAACATTTACCATAAATAGTAGTAAGAAAAAGTCAACCACATTTATTATACACTATTTTCAGCAACTTTTACATTTTATATTTTAATTTTAATTCATTATCAAAAAATTGGATGGTTCCTAAATTAATGGGTTTTAAATGCACGTATCATGTTTCAAAAATTATAAATCATTTAAAATCGGAGGGTTCGTAAATTAATGGTTACAAACTTTTCAAAGTTGTAATCTTTATGGCATCTTTTCGTTTTGACTTTTAATAATAAAATTATTTTATATATATATATTCTAATCCAAAAATTCAATCATGTTAAATATATATATATATATATATAAATTGAACGTTAAAAATATTTTTTAAATTGGATACCCAATCAATTAATCTTAATTTTTTTAAAATTACTATGTTTATTTTTTATTAATACGCATAAAATAAAAATAAATAGTTCATCTTTGGATATATAATTTATAATCTTAATATACTATCATTTGGTGTAGACATATGAATCATAAAATATTTTTATTTCATAAAACTAAATATTATATTTAAAGAAAATAAGGAAATTACTTTGGATCAATCGGGTGATTGAATTAGGGTACTGCCCACTTTGATTGAATTACTTTTAGGTGATATTTAAAATAGTCAAAAAACTTGACATAACTTGGTTTGTCCGAGGTAATTAAGTTATGTATCAGTTTGACCAGACCAAATTGATTATTGAACCTAAATATAAATTTTAATATTGAAAATACTTTATTACGTGAATGTGATGTCGTCCAAATTTCAAATAATCATATTAACAATACTTTTATGACAACATGATTAATGATTTATGAATATTTATATATCATTTTATTATTATTTATGTGAACAAAATATTTATTTCATTATCATTTTTATTAATGTACGGTAAATATAAGGTTTTCAGAATCGCACCGTCTTGTGGTTGTTCAGATTTTAATACATAATACTTTAATATATATATATATATATAGTACTTTTTGTAATAAATTTAAATAGAAAGTGTTACTTAAATATCTAAACAATTTATAAATTCAAATGTTTAAACTAATTGATAAACAATTTATAAATCTCTATTTTATTTAAATATGTAATTTTATTTAAAATAATTTTTCATGTAACAAAATTTGTTTAGAAAATCGTATCGATCTTACCAGTCCAACTGGTGTTGGCGGATTCGATAGCAAATATTTTATTCAAGCGCACTAAATCGGTTATAAACTGGTTCTCGGTCCATCCGGTCGAACTGTGTCCAACCTGGTTTAATTTATAAATAATGGATAAATCATGATTAATGTTATTTATTTATTTAATTTATAATATAATCAAAATATTATTTTTTCGGGCCACGTACTAGTTATGGTAATATGGAGCCTCTGTATAATTAATGTGAACCCATGATTTGGTTAACGGAAAACATAGATTTTTGTATATCAGTAGATGGGATAATATCTAATACATGTAGGCGTAAAATTAGACACGGCCGCGGGCCAAACCGGCCCGGGTCCCGCGGCCCGGACCGAAAACCGGTACAAACCGGCCCGTGACCGGCCACATAAGGGTCGGTCCGTTGGACCGAACTGCAACGGCCGCGGTTCGGTCCAAGTTCAAAAAATAAATAAATTTTGGTCCCGGCGCTCCGGTCCGGATTGGGTCACGGACCGACAGCCGGCATCGGTTACAGTTTTTTTTTAACCGACGATTCACTAAACCACCGGGCCGGGCCAGTTCAATGAACCGGCTCTTAGATATAAGCAGGCCGGTCACGGGCATAGGTTTTGTGACTCGCGGACCCAGCGGGCCGGGCCGGTCCGGGTCATGGTCCGTTGACTAGCCACCTCTACGTAAAATTTTCAAATTAGTGAAAAATCAGATCTTATTGGAATAGGATTCCGAATTGACAATGGCAATGGCAAAGGCAAAGGCAGTTAGGTTTCATATATATACGAGACGCACTTGGTATTCATTCATAGTTAGGCTCGCTTGTTTACAAAATAATTCGTCCAAAATGAGTTATTTTAGTTAACTAGAGTTAATTTTGAAAAAGGTGGTATGGTTAGTTGTTAGTGGGATTTTAAAAATGTATTAAAATAATATTTAAAATAAAATAATTAAAATTGATTTGATGTAAGAGTATGAGATAAATGATTGAAAATGATTGAGAATGATAAGTAGTTAAAATTATGTGAGTGGATGAATAGTGAATTAAAGTTGATGTGATGTGTAAGAATGATTGGGTTGTATTTATTAATTATATGAATAATATTAAAGATAGTGAGGTTGAGTTAAAATTGAGTTAGATTTTGAGTATGAATTAAAAGTGAGCGAAATAATTGATAAACAAATATGCCCTAAGGGCGTGATTGTATATAATTTGTACAGTCACTCAAAACTCAAATTTAACTCAATTCCACTATCTCCAATATTATCAATATAATTAAATAATATCAACCAATCATTATTGCACACCACATCAACTTTAATTCACTATTCATCCACTCAAATAATTTTAACTAACTATCACTTCCAATCATTTTCTCCTACTTTTACATCAAATCAACTTTATTTATTTTAAATTAAATATTATTTTAATATATTCACTAACAACTAACCATACTACTTTTTTCAAATTTAATTATAGTTCAAAAAAAACTAATTTTTTACTAGTTGAATTAATATTCAATCACCCTTTTAAGTTTTCCAAAAAAATTATAAGCAGCCAGAATAGAAAATGGATTACCTGTTTGCTTCACACGATATGTACACCCACAGCTACTCCAACCCCTGATGGCAAAAGGATCTTGGCTTTCTCACAACATCTCGACTCGTGGTACCCTCGTGATCTGCACGACTTTGAGATATACGACCCTCAAACGCAAACCTCACGAAAACTCCCCGACTTACCTCTCGACTCAGATGGCGAGTTCTACCTCGAGGATTATACTTTTCTCGGTAACTCCACCTTTGCCATCAAGACTACCCGAGGCTTTTTTGTTATCAATCTGGAATTGGAATTGGATTCTCTCTCCCAAGGCTGGAAACTGTTGGACCATGCTCTTCATAAGTCTTTTCCTACACGCGGTTTGATTTGTGGTTTGATTTGCGATCACCGAGTCTTTGTCATAGGGGATGCAATATGCGTGGGTGGAAAATGTGTGTATGTCTCCTCGGCTCGTATTCCGTTGTCCTCGTTCAGCCCTAAGTGGGATTATGAGCGCTTCCTTGGTCCTCTGGTCACCCCTGTTGGCCAGATTGAAGATGGTAGATTCAATCTGGCTGTTGTACAGACAGCACAGCATAATCGTACCAAGCGCCCTCACATCATCTGGTCACCCCTGTTGGCCAGATTGAAGATGGTAGATTCAATCTGGCTGTTGTACAGACAGCACAGCATAATCGTACCAAGCGCCCTCACATCATACTGGATTTATGCGCTTGTACTTATCATTCCAACCTCAAGAATGTGGAGATTAAACCAATCATAACCAGCCCTCTTGTATTTGGCGCAGCTGATTTCAAACTTACGCCTTTTGCATTGTTTCCGGTTGGTTGAGTGAGCAGCAGCAGCAGCCATCGCCATCAGGGTAAATAGACATTTAATTTAACTATGCATGTTTAAGGGGTTTGATTAAAAACAAGTTCAAGTGTGTTACAAAGTTTGACACAGACTATCTTTTTAATATATTTCAGTTTCGGAGAAAAACAGAGATTATTATTTTCCACCAAGATTGCTTTTTTTCTTCTTCTTCTTCTTCTTGTTCCCCCTATCTTTGCATGCTTGTATGAGTTACTTTATCATTTTTATATTTTCTCTCAGTTGAGTTAATGTTGATATGTTATTTAGTCTTGCTATCGACCCAAATTTAGTCAGTAATTAAGTAAAAAATTGACGTCAGTTAAATGTACATACTGTCACGCCCATTTTTATCGGTGCTGCCATGGCTCATCAACTGGTGGTTCATCAACCGGTATGAATGTTCTTTTCGTTATGTTTGTTTTTCGGGTGATTCGCAATTTTCTTGTTCATTAGGTTGTTCCGCACTTTGTTTGATGTTTTTAGGTAGCTGGGTAATGGGATTCCGTTGTCTGGGTGTTGTTAGCATCATCAAGAAAATTAAGGTGAAAGGAGAATGTAATTAGGAGCTCGCGTTGGATTTTAGAGATCATGATTGTAGATGTGCATTATGAACGGATGGCTCACTATGGTTAATTAGGGGTCTAATTGTATGAAGTGATTGTTTGAATTAAAGTCGTGCAAAGTCGAATGCTTTTCATTTACAAAAGTATATAGTCTCATAAGAAGTGCATTTTTTTATCTGGCATTGGAAATCTGTGTATGATTTCTTGTTTCTTGAAGCTCATAAATTTCCTATGTATGTAAGTAGTAACGGATGATAATATTTCTTGTTTGTTTCTTAATGCTGGATTGGATTTGTTACTCATTTTAATATTAAGGTTCAATGTTTTGTTTGAAAAGTGAGAATGACATTGTTGCTTGATCTGGTGTTAGATTGAATTTCAATAAGGCACGCTCACATACTAAGTGCAAGTCTTTCAGCTTGTTATTTAAGCTTCAACAGTGGGCTGATTGAGCTAGACACTCTATGTTCAAGTTGGCATCACTTTAGTTAGTGTCGCAAATCAGACCGTTTATTGTCTGCTAGTAACTGTGAGCTTGAGAAACAAACTATCTCCATAAAACTATTGTTCAATTGTAGGACTAGCCCGTTGACCAAGATATAAGCTATCGTGTTCATTGTGAAAGCCATATTGCGCAGCGTCTTGTGCAGATCAGAATCAATCAGTTTTTGATTCCTTGGATCACATTGCATGAGGTTATTTTTGTCCTTTGCAGAAGTAATAATTGCCGAACCAAAGAAGGTATTTGCAATTCAGTATGTTTATCGCCCCTTATGATTTTCGTGTCTATTTAAGGGTCAGGTTGGTATTAAACGAGCTTACATTTCATAATGATGGTTTCATCAGTGATTAAAAAGGTGATGGCATGGCGTTGAGGCATGATGTGGCAAGGCGAAGTTGTGAAAGACAAAGCCAAGGCGCTTGCCTCGATGGTTGAGGTACTAACCCTACTTTTAGGCATCGGTTTAGGCTTTTTCATAAATTGGATCTCAATTACACTTCTGTGTCCTAACCAAACTGTCAATTGGTTCGTGTTTTCCCTTCATTGAAGCCCTGCGAGCTGCGACCTGATCCCGGAAGTTCTCCGCGGACCAATTCGACTTTCAACTGAGAGTGAAGGCATTTATTGTCACGTTCTTTTCTTTCTTTGTTTTCTTTTTCTCTTCCCTTCTCAACTTCTGGCAGTTGTTTGACCTACAGTATTTGGTATTGGACGCTGCTGGACCTGCCAGCCAATAGCAGCAGCTTCTCTGCTATTTTTGCCTTCCGTTCTGGCAGAACCCAGGAATCCTTCTATTGAATACTATATCCTATTTTTCTTCTAATGATATTCTCTGTGAGCTGTGAATGATTTTGAACTGTTTTTGTTAATAGAATTCTGTACTTTGGTGAGTGGGTGGGTAAAAATTAGCTCAAAGCCAGCTATTATAGTCAAACTTTAAGGTTTGTTTTCATCTCGATTATAGTAATTTTTTTGTTGTCCATAAATCCTTACTTTTGCATATTGGCTTGCCCCGTTTCAATGATGTGAGCTCCTTGCCTCACGCGTTGGCAGATAATAGGCTTATGGCCTCGTGGCGCCTCACGCCTTTTTAATCACTGGGTTTCATCAGGAAGCATCAACAGATCGTTCAGTGAAATTTATAGCAACCTCATTAATCCCCTCATCAGTTTCTATCACAAGGTGTAAGTGTCGGTGGCTATAGACTTCAGATGAACATGGATGCAACCCATAATATTTCCCTATCTTGCCATTAATAGATTACATACACATTTTTATTTGCAGCTGACTGCCGGATGACTGACGGTCCTCGCCCTTGACTCTTTTTTTCCTATCAGTTAAGGTCTTCTTTACTTATATGGCTGGGTTACATTGACTGATGAAAGGTGTGATGAACTATTGGATTGTGGTTAAATCGTTTACTAAGGATCATGGATGCTTTGTGGGATTGTATGTGGTAATTAAAGTGAATTCCTATATGTATTTATATTCTTAACCATATATCATTGTTTTGTGTGTGTGAGGTGTGTATATTTCAAAGCTCAAGCAGTCCATGTATTCTGAAGGGTGCATTATGTAAGTTAAAAATACTATTTCTTCATCACCTTTTCTTTATTTAACTTTATATCCTTCTTTCTTTCTTCTATTTTGTTCTCCTCTTGCCTGTTTCCCAATATGATTGACTTAAAATAGTTTTTAAAACTAGGCCTGCATCATTGAAACTCTTCATGCATATCTGGTGTATTCATTGTGAGTCATTAACATTTATTGTCCTTTCATGGTTCTTAATCTTATCTGGGAGGGCAACTTCTGAATCGTCTGTTTCCATAAAATTATTGTTTAGTCTGAAACTCATAATTGGCTCAAAGGTAACATAATATTGAGAACTAGTTAGTTCATAAGTAATTAAGTAAAGAAATAAAAGTCCATGTTTCTTAATAATAAGGTGCATGTTTGTTGGTCTTAAAGATGTGTGAATTCCTTTTGTTGAAAAATAGCTAGTTGTAGTTCAACCTATCTAGCAAGCAACAGCCATGAGATGATGAGATTGCCCTTATCTAGTGTGCACATGTTTGTGGCTTGATTACTCATTTGTACTATATCCCTGTTTCTTTTTGCCCTTCCTTTCGAGTTCTGCAAAATCCAGTTGCGTTCAACGTAAGCAAAATCCAGAGTTCCTGTTCTCTTCTCTTTTTGCAGGACTTTGTGTGTCTGACTGGGTTTCTATCACAATTCAAAGGTGTTTGGTACCATATTCACACAAATGCCTCTATCGTTTATGGTTTGGTTTACTCATAGATTTGCTTCTACCTTTGCGAAATTATTAGATGAAGAATCAGTTGAACGCGTAATATTAGATATGCTTTACTTTTTTCAGTGCGTGGCTAATTATTTAAAACTTAAAAGAATATGATTACATTTTACAAAGTCCAGGTTAGCTCCAAATGTTTATGTTGATAATAATGGATCGACATGCTGAACTAAGTCTTTCTTGAGGGTTTTGCCTTCCATTTTGTGTCTGAAATCAGAAACTAGGATACCATGTTCTTAATTAGCTATGTCTACGTGAATGCTTTCTTTCCGTATTGCATTTGCCTGCAGTCTCGTAAATTTTCCAGATAATCACGAGATTAGGTTTAGCCTCTGTACAGAAAAAAAACTCCAGTTATCTTTCAAAACTACAAACATCCCTTAAAAAGTGTTGCAAGCATCCCTTTGATGCTCACGTGCTTCATTTTTGTAGCGAGGGCTGAGGGAATACCAGGAGATTAAGAATTGATAGAAGGCGAAACGGAGATTGTGACTATAGATGCCAATAATGCGGTTACACTTTCGTGCGAAACAAACACAGGATGAAAGAGAGTTGTGTTGCATGGGGAAAAGGAATTAAGCAGATGGCGAATGCATGCAGTTGGGGTATAAAACCAAATGTGTAGAGTGGCTTGTCTATTTATGGATATGTTGAACTTGGAACAACATTATATTTTGCAGAGTTAGCTAAATGGATGATTCTCGACTGGGCTCGCTGTGATCTTTTATTGTTTCCTTTGTGCTCGGCAACACGTTTTTATGCTGTTGAAATATTTACATAACCCTTAGTTTTTATGCTGGTGAAATTTTCACATAACCCTTATTGGTCATATTTTTATTATGTGCTGATTTTGGCTTGCTATCTCTCTCTTAATCTACCAAATCTGGTAGATTTAGATATGTTAGTGTTTTTCATTTTTGGTGGGGGATTCGATTCTTTGATTTCATCATTTGCTTGTGCGTATTTATATGAGAGACATATGACAAATGGACTTGATAAGAAAATTACTCACGGTTAAAATACAACTTTATTTAAGACTTTATTAACTTTATTAAAGACGAGCTCAAAAGTCAAGATCAAGAAATATGACAAATATAAAAAATATTGAGAAAATTATTTAAAATACAACTTTATTTAAGATTTTTTTTTACTCACATACGGTTAAAATACAACTTTATTTAAGATTTTTTTTTTAACCAACAATGTANAAATGGACTTGATATAAAAAATATTGAGAAAATTACTCACATACGGTTAAAATACAACTTTATTTAAGAAAGATTGTACTTTATTAACTTAACTTTATTTAAGAAAGATTGTACTTTATTAACTTTAACTTTAATACGGTTAAAATACAATTTTATTTAAGAAAGATTGTACTTTATTAACTTTATTAAAGACGAACTCAAAAATCAAGATCCAAAATTCTTGATAACAGGTTTTTTCTATATACCACGTTTCACGTTTGACGTTCCACGTTCCATCCTTTGTTATACCGGTTTTTTCTATATTCCACGTGTTATACCAGACCTTCTTATAACTTTCTTATAAAGGTTTTTTGCGTTGTTCAATTATTTATTATTTATCAATTATTAATTATTAATATTTTATTTGCTAATTATTAATTTTTTATTTTATGGAAGAACAAAAATTCTGAATAATTTTATTTTTTACTGTAACTATTAATTTATATATATCTATCCACATATATATAATGGATTAATTTAATGGATTAGTTTAATCATGGTCATAGGTTTGTGGATTATTCAAACTTATTCTAGAAAATGAAACTAAAAAATTCTACAACCATGTTTTTATTTATTTATTATGAACAATGAAGAATGTTAGTGTTATTCATTGTGGATATTTCTAAAATATTTCATATCCAATTTCACGATCATTAGCTATAATATGTATGTACAAAATTTACAAAAAGTTTCTACAACCATGATTTTATTTATTTATTATGAGGAATGAAGAATGTTTTGTGTTATTCAATGCGGATATTTTTAAAATATTTTATATTTAATTTCACTATCAAACAATTTATAACATTCAGACGTTTAAAAACAAAATTGAAGACTCACATGTTAGAATTTTATTTTTTTTTTTAAAAAAAAAAATTGAAGATGTAGATGTTGGAATTTTAATTGTGTGAATTTGATGTCATGTCTGTCAATAAAAGGCCTAATATTTTTTCATAAATTANATTTTCACAAATCATCAAATACTCTTACTAAGTATATTGAAATCTTGTTTGAATTTTTGACTTGAATGGATATTAGTTCATTGTCTTGGTACTCATGCAATAATGTTTTTTTGGTCAACTGATAGGTTTGCATCGTTGCTTCTTCTCATGGATTTTATTATACTAGTACTTTTTTTATGATTATGTGACTACAGTTATGATATAAACTGAATAGTTACAAATAATAATAAAACGTGTTTGTGTTGTAAATTTAAATAATGTAGAGTTCACAACTAGTGATCTTTCGGTTGTGCCTGTGCCAATTTGGTTTCCATTTAATCTTTTAATTAATTGTCGTGATTTTTCTTTTTTCATTTTTTATTTCCAGAAAAACTAAACTAACGGGAAAATTAATATCCTTATCTTATCTATATACTATTATATAATTATTATTATTATAATTATAATTATAAAATTATAAAAGAAAATTGATTTTGTAAAAAAAATGCACAGACTAAAAGGTGACGACTTTGTACTAAACTATAGAATTTTCTCCACGGTCAAATTCCCATGCACGATATCATCTTCAGGAAAAAAAAAAAACTGACGATTTTTGTATGAATCACATTAATCAAAATTGTTCCGTCAACCGTGCACGCAACTGTTTTTCCAGCCAGAGCACAAAGAGAAGTCGTCGTTCTGGCTCTTGATAGTCCCATGATAGTCGTTATGCGGCCGGACTTTATCTTTTCAGTGTCAGCCCACATGAGAGGCTTATGTTTTCCTTTTGGAGTCACTGGTACGCTCTTGAAAGCAATCTCGATCGCTGGTCTTTTTCATGCTGGTAATGTAAGAAATTTAATGGGCATACTCATAACTATCAGGCGGAATTGAATAAACCCTAAGCATGTAATTCTATCAGTTCATAGAATATGGATCTTTTGCATAAATTAAATTGCACATAGAACTTACAAGAATCCAGCTTATAGTCCCTCCCTGTTTTCTTGATCTATGATGTTGATCTGGATCTCTTCCTCGTAATCTCATGGATCTTCTCCAATGATGGATTCGCCTTTGCCTATGAATTGTGAATTGTTTCTCTCTCCCACGTCTCTCGTCTCTCGTCTTTTCATAAAGCCCTTGATGTTGAGAACTTTATTTTCGTATGAGATGGGAGAGAGGAGCATGTAGTATATATAGGAGGAATCCTACAAACCTATTCCTACTAACATTCCCCATGTTCTAACCTAACTTACTGTCCAAGTCAAACATCACAAATTGGACTCTTTAATATTAGAACATTAAATAATCCATTAAATAAATATTCACCTTAAATAAGTTTGACTATTAATTCAATTAGGTCCAATTAATTATATGGTCCACAATAATAGAATAATATAAAATATTATTACATTCTCCCACTTGGACCATATAGTGTCGAAACCAAAAGAACTACTTTAAGCGCGCACATTTCATCAAACTTATGATTGAATACATATATCTATAAATTTAAAATCAAACTAGAAATTAACCGAGTCATGGCGGTCACAAGTCTTCGAGCGACATGATCCCTTCCATGTACCACAAATCATTTCTAATTCAACTTTGCTTTAATATGGAACAAGCTATTCGTACCATAACCATAAGCCATCCAACTTTTATGTATACACTATAAAATCAAATATCTATAATGATGGTATTATATGTGAAGAATCAAACATCTTTAATTGAATTCAATAAGTGTCAAAATCAATAATTGAGCAATTTCATTCAGTATCGGTCAGTCCAACAAGGCCCCATTCGTTATTCCCAGCTTTCTTTATATGCCTTCCAAAGGCTATAGGGAATAACCCTTTTAATGGATCCGCTTTCATGCAATAGTACTAAAATGCTCAAATGACACTTTATTTTTTCTTCACTTATATTTTACGACTAAGTATTTTAATTTCATGTGATTCACACCCTTTGAATACTTGTCATTCCTTGAAATATTATTGCTACGATACTGCGATAATTCTTAGCGGCTTGGACAAGATGTCGACATTTCCAAGTCCTAAGATAAAGCACCGTAGCCCTAAATTTGACTTGTGGCCTCAAAGCACACCACAAACTCAAACTTAATCGTGGAAGTCACGATGATGGACTTTGTTCCACTTTTCCATAATCTTGCTCCTTTAGAAATTATGAGCAAAAGTCTGAATCCGATTATCCAATTATAACAAATAATTTGGATCTTCTTTAAGTTAGCATGTGCTCTTTAATGCCTTGTAAATACTTTAAAAAATTTCCTTGCAGCATTTAAATAATCGTTTAGGGATTACTTTTATATTTGCTTAACGTACCAGCAACAAATATGTTATCAAACCTAGTACAGGTTTGTCCTTCTTAAGATTCCTAATCATTTATATCTAAGAAATTCCCTCCATCACTTTTTCATTCCATTTCACCTTTCGGACATTTATTATAGACTAAATGTGTCCCTTTTATGAATTGGAATTATATGAAACAACCATCCATTGTAAATATCTCCAAAATCTCGAATAAAACTTTTGTAGGATAAACTTTTAGTCCTTGTGATCTATTATAGAATATTTTTATTCCAATTACCAAGGACGTTTCATCCATATCCTTTATTTCATAATTTTCGTAGAGATAATTCTTTACTTCGTGCAACATGTCCACATTATTAGCAACTATAAATATGTCATTGACATACAGAACTAAAATAACAGATCTACTCCCACTGACCTTAATGTAGATACACCAATTTACAGTATTCTCTACAAAACCATAAGCAGTGATGATATCATTAAACTTAAGATACCATTGACGAGAGGCTTGTTTTAGTCCATATATCGATCTATTCAACTTACACACTAACGTTTCATTTTTTGTGATCTCAAAAACTTTTAGTTAGTTCATGTAGATCTCCTTTTAAGTTTATCATTTAGAAGGTGATCTTTGTGTCCATTTGATAAAGCTCAAAATCATACAGAGCCACCATTACCATTACAATTCTGAAGGAATCTTTCTTGAAACGAAAGATAATGTTTCCTTGTAGTCAATGCCTTCCTTTTGGGTGTAACCTTTAGAAACAAGTCTAACTTTATATCTTTCGATATTACCTTTAGAGTCGTGTTTGGTTTCGAAAAACCCATTTACACCCAACTCTTTTAGACCCTTCAGGTAATTCTACTAAATTCCAAACTTTGTTGTCATCCATTGACTGTAATTATTCTTCCATAGCATTGATCAACTTTTACAGAATTTTCACTTTTCA